CCCGGCGCAGCGCCGTGCTGAGCGGGCCACGCATTGAACCGAGCCGCCCCTGGGGGCTGCGATCTGCGAAACGGCTGCCACATTCGAGGGCTGCTGGGGGGCCCAGCTAGGCGGCGCACCGCGCGCCCTTAAATTCGACCTCGCCATCGCTGGGGGGGCTGCGACATGCGACGCTGACACCGCTGTCGGGCGCCGCGGGCGGCGGAGCGATGCCTCGCGGGCCCCGAAGACCTGGCGGCGCGCCCGCCGGCCCGCAGTTCCCGCCCTGCGCCGCGCGGGAAGGGCGCGGAGAACCTGGCGGGCGAGGTCGGCCGCGTCACTGCCATTGTTCGCGCGCGCGGCGGCCCCCCGCCGGAGCAGCTCCGGCGCGCCGTGCCCGACGCCGGCGCGCCTCATCGGTCGCGGTTTCCAGGACTGGCCGCCGCCCTGCGGCACCGCTGCGGGAGACAGCGGCCCGCGCCGCGGGCTGCTGCCGCTGCCGCCCGCAGGGTTCAAATCGCACGAGCGCAGGCGTTGCGCCGCCGCGTTCAATGCCGCAGGCGCCGCGGCCCGGCCCCCGCAGCAGCGCGAGTGGGCGGCGCAGAGCATCGGCAGTGTGGCCGAGCGGTTCGCTGCCCATCCTGGGGCGGGGGCCTCGCCTGGAGCCGCTTGCCAGACCCGCTCGGGAAGCAGGGCGAGGGCGAGGGGGCGCCGCCGAGACCCCCCCCTTCCACCGAGAGCGGCCGCCCGGCATGGGCGACGTCTACATCGGGAGGGGCGGCGGCGAGATCCCGGGGAGCAAATTGGGCAAGACCTTCTCCGCTACTCGCAACAGCGCGAAGGCCGCCGTGACGAACTTCGCATTGGCCCCCGACGAAGCCGGGTCTGCTCGAGGTGTTTTCGGAGCTCGACGGCGCTTCTTCAGGGTGCCAGTGCGATCTAAAGTCCGACCTGCCACTCGGGCGCCATCGTCGCAGCGTGGCAGGAGGGAACAGGCAAACGATCGCGAGGCCCTTGCGTCAATTCGGAAGCGCAGGGCCGCCGCCCTGCTGCGAGCGCATCGATTGCTCGATTGGCTTCCATGATGGCGCGGGTATTCAATCGCCCGGCCGCTGGGGCCCAGACCCTCGGAAGTTCCAGAAATTGGCCGAGTTCGGGTCCGAGCTCTTCAGCGGGGTCGTAGAAGCCGCGGGCGGCTGGGGCGCCGCAGAGCGCGCCCCCTTCAGGCTCGCGGCGCAGAGGCGCCCTGCCCGCGCCGGCCCGAGCGAGCCATCTGACCTTGCGAGATAGGGGGGCCCACGAGGCGGCCAGAAGGGCCCCCGAAGGTTGGTTGGGGGCAAAAAGGGGGCGACGCCGCAATCCGCCACTGCGCGCCGGCATCGCATCTACGCGATGCATGGGGCCCCGGCGCAGATTTCATGCTGGAGTTGCAGACGGGGCCGCTGTTGCCGCGCTGCCCGGGACGCCCGGGTAAGAAGAGCTCGCCGAGGAGTTCGCGGAGGGGGGGGGGCGTCGACCAGGGGGCCGCGGACTGGGCCGCCCCGGAAGCAGCCGGCCACAGCTGCGCGGACGATCGCAGCGAATGGCACCCAGAGCACTTTGCAGACGATGCGAAGGGGGCAGGGTGACCAGGATGTCCACGGAGCAGCAGCGCTACCGAGCCCGCGACAATTGCGCCATTGCGGCGCCGGTGGCCCTGGAGAGCGCGAGCGGCAAGAAGAGACTCGCGCGCGACGGCGCGCGCGAGGTCGCAGCGGGCCGCCGGGTCCGACGAAGGGGCCGACAGGGGATGCCGAGACCCGCAGACATGTTTTACTTATACCACCCCTTAGGCGGCAAGGAGGCTGGGGGGCGGGGGGGGGGCGGGGCGGGAACCGACTGCTGGCCAATGCGCTGGGCGAGGTGATGGCGTAGCGGCGGCGACGCGTGATGGCGACGTTTCGTTGCGATCCAATGTCATGGCCGCCCCCGCCTTCGATCTCAGTCGATCGACCCCATATCGACTTCGCGGCCAGTCGTGGTGCCAATGGGTTCAGCGATCGATCCTACTGTGCCCAGGCCAGGGGAGAGCGCCTGTCCCAGCGAGACCTACGCGACCCACGGGACGTCGCTTCCCTGCGCATCCGCCAGGCGATCACAACCGATGCCACAAGCAACCTGGCTGTCGATGTCAGATACGATCTCGCCGTTCATCCCGTTCCCAGAGATCTCAGTGTCGATTTCACTATCGACTCAATTATCGATGCCAAGGGGGAACGTCGCCGGTCACCGCCCGCCCGCCGCCGACGGAACACCGACGGGGCACCGACGGGGCGCCGGCGGGGCGCCGCGGGACGCCGCGGCGGGACGCTCCGGGCCACCGCGCGACCACCAGGGCGGTTAGGGCGGCCCACTGCATCCGAATCGCCTTCGCATCGGCGGGGCAATTCCCCTCGCGCGCCCGGGCAGATTCGCCTCGCCCGCGCGCGCGACGCGAACGCGAAATTAAAACCGATGTCCTGGCGGGGGGTTCTCGTTCCATTGCGGTTTGACCCCCCCGACCTCTGGCCCCCCGATTGCTCTGAAGACCGGCGCGAGGTCATCTTCTCGCTCGCCGCCGACGTCGAGGGCGCGCGTCAGCTATCCAGGATCCGCGAGGACGAGCGGGGCAAGCTGGCCCGCTAGTTCGAAGGCGAGATCTACTGCGACGCCGCCAGCACCCTCGGCATGACCGGCGCTTCAGAACGGCAGGCCGGACTGCTCGGGGCCCTATGCCGCGGGCGATGTCCTTTCTCTTGGGGGGCGACTGGTCCGTGGAATTGCCCGCTTGCGCCGAAGACTTAGAAGGGGCCGGGTAAGGGGCGGCGCGGGAGTTCGGCGGCGCTCTTCATGGTCGTCTTGCTCTGCGTCTTTGGGTCTCCGACGCAGAGGGCCAAGACGCGGGGCGTCGGCCTCCGCTGCGACTGCGCCGCTTGCGCCGTGGGCTTCTCGGAGGCGAGGGCAGCTTAGGCGGCGGCCTAGCGTCGGGGGCTGGCCGATCGGAGCGCCGCCGGCGCGGCCGAGGCGGCGCCGGGCGCGAGGCGCCAAGGCTTCGCGGCGATTGCTTTTTATTTGGGAGAGGCCGCTCCCAAGGCCCGCGCGCGCCTAGCGCGCCAGCGCTGCGTGGGCAGACGAGGAGAGCGTCTCCCCACCGCGGGCAACCAGTCTCGTGCTGACTTGGATCGCGAGGCACCTCCTCGAGTTCAAAATTGCGAACGCTGAGCGCTCTGGGGCGCCCCCGCTCGGGCGCGAGGGCGGAAGGGGGGGCGCCGTTGGATGGGCAGCCGGCATGTGCCGCCGGACGGCGGCGCGCGAGGAGTGGATCTCGTCGGCTCGCGATGGGGGCGGGAGAAGGAACGGCCCCCCTGGGCGCGGGCCAAGGCAGACGACCCGAACAGGGCAGTCACGGCCCCGGCTTCTCGGCGCGATCTTCTGCGCGATGCTGCTCTTCAGGCCCAGAGGGCTCGACCAGAGGGCGAATCGCGAAAGGGCGGGTCGACGGGCGGCCTCTGGAACGCATGCGCGGTAACCGGGGCCGCGTCGACCAAACGGCCGTTCACGGTCCGCCCTGTCGAGTTCCAGGAGGAGCTGAGGTCGCGCGCGATGGCGCATTGCCTGGGCTGGCCACCGCGCGATGAGGGCCAGGTGGCAGCCGACCCCGACCACGTGAAAACGACGGACTTCGATGAGTCCTTCATGATCCACGCGGCGGCCGCGGACCTGAGGTGGCGCGCGCTCGACGAGACGACGCAGGCCCCTCCGAGATTTTATTAGCGAGTCTTTGAGGGGTGGGCGGCCGCCCAGGGCAGGGCGCCCGCAGTTGGGCGCGGCCGTGGGCGACGCGGACGGCGCGCGCGCCTTGGGCCGCGGCGATAGCCTCGCGCAGCGCGTCTCGGACGACGTCGCGCAGGCGGAGTTGGGCGCGGCCGCAGCGGCGCGCGGGGCCCCGTGCGACCCTTCGGGAAGGGGGGGCAGTGGCGACGACATCTGGCGCGCTTGCGGGGTAGACTTCTGGCGCGCCTGCGGGGTAGTCATGGGATCGCGCCCATCAGTGGGCGCCGCCGCGGCTGGGGCCCCCCATTCCCGCCCTTGGGCCCCCCCCGTTTCCGCCGCCGCGGCGGGGGGGTCCAGGGCGGGAGGGGCGCTCTCAACCGCAGGGGGCCTTGCGGAGGGCGGGCGGGACTTCGGGGCCGCGCCCCTGGCCCCTCGGCGCGGGCGCGGCGCGGCAGGTCGGAGGTCGCGGTGCCTGCGAGGACGGGGCGAAAAGGAGTGAAGTGCGGGGGCGGGATTTGGCGCTAGCAACGTGTGGTTGGGGGGCCCGGGCTCCGCTCCCGAACCTCCGAGTCTCCGCGCCCCGTCCTTGGTGGTCCGCACCCCTCGCAAGGGGGGGGCGTGAAGTTCCCTGGAGTGGTTGGGGCCTCGCGCGCAGCGCCCCCGAATCTGCCACCCTTAAAAGTGGCGTGGGCGTCATCCCCGGCTCTTCTTTTTCCACCATCGATTCGGTATTGTGGCTATTCGAGGAAACGCCCCCGTGTGCCAACCCGCAAGTGCATTTTCTTTCTCTGTACTGCTCTTTTGGTCATTTGAATTCAATCGCTCGGCCGATTTTGCACAACCCGCCCTCGACCACCCTGGGGCATCAGGTTCCTGGGAGGGGCTGGGGCCCTGCGCATAGGGCCCCTGGATCCGCCACCCGCAGAAGAGGCAGCAACGTCATCCTCGGCCTTGTTTCAAACGCCATCTCACCGCTATAAACTATTCGAAAATACATAGTTCCTTTCTGTGCACTCCCTGGCCCCTCCTCCCGTCCGCGCACATGCTTCGGGGAATGATGCGATCACCCTCGTCTTCAGGGCCACCTTCTTCAGCGCATCCGAATGGCGATGGGTGTGGATTTCGAACCCCGGGTTGCCCCAAGCGGCCGGCGAATGTCCTGGATACCCATGCGATCAATGTTCGTGGTTGTGTTCGCTCCAGCGGCCGGGCGCCCCCCCCCCAACAAGGACGTCGCCTCTTGATGCGGCGGGGCACTCTGCGCCACGTGCGGCGTCGCGTTGTAGTCTTGCAGAAAAAAGAAGTGTCGCTCACAGGCATAGAGAATAAGGGTCTTGAGTTAAAGGGGTCCTGGATCTGTGTGTTGTTCCGTTGTCGGTCTCTTTGGGGCCCTCCCGAGTTTTTGGCACAGTCAGCAAACAGCGCCGGGTGAAGAGCCGGCCCCCTGCGAAGGCCCAGGGGTATCCAGGACCCGTCTCTTTTTCAAGACCCTGCTCATGCCCGCAGTAGATGTCAGTATCCGCTATCACAGATTACCCTCTTTGCCGCCAGACCCTTGCTCACAGTACCAATCGAAACTTGCTCCCCGACTAACCAAGGTCGTTGGGCCTGGGTGCAGGCCGCGTTTCTACAGTTTGTGTTTCGGGACGCCCAATTCGCTTCTGGTGCGCGCGGTCTCCCTGTAATTATCTCGAGGACCGCGGGCATCCGAATAATGGGAAGCAACACAAAGAACAAGAGTGCTGCACTGCCATTCTGGTCTCATCGGTGTCTTATGTTTGGAGCTTTTGGGCAGCCCATGCACGGACGACTGTCCTCATGTTGTTCCTCTTGGTGCACCAAAAGGTTGCCTTGCATGGTTCCTCGTGCAGTTGTCCAGCCTAGCGTTGTCGTGCAAGCGTTTCGGCGCCCCTTCCGCTGCGCCTTCACGGCGGCACGTGTTCGGAACCAGAGCCCATCGCCCATCGTCCGCAGTTTTGCCTCAATCACAGTCGCAGTTGTTCTTGGCTGGCAGAAGCCCAATCTGTGTTCACCGCCTTTGTATTCGATGTTCCTACATATTTCCCAACCGCCCTGTGGTGTTGGGTCCTCGTTTTGAAGAAACGGCGCCCCCCGTTCTCCTCCTCCCGGCTCCTTCCGCCTCCCCCTCCTCCTTCCTCCCCCTCCTTGCCTCTGCTCTCCGCATGTCAACAACCTCGGCACACCCCTCTCATGCTTCGTGGTTCCATAGGGAGCTCCACCAAAGGCCCCACCATCGCCCGCATGCGTCACCTACACTCATTTCGGCACACCCCTCACACGGTTCGTGGCCCCATATGGAGCTCCACCGAAGGCCGCAGTGCGTGCCATCGCCCGCATGCGTCACCCACACCAATTTCGGCACACCCCTCACACGTGTAGTGGCCCCATAGGGAGCTCCATCGAAGGCCGAAGTGCCACTGCCCGCATGCGTCACCCACACTTATTTCGGCACACTCCTCATACGTTTCGTGGCCCCATGAACTCCACCGAAGGCCGCAGTGCCACCCCCCGCATGCGTCTCCCACACCCATTTCGGCACGCCCCCCACACGTTTCGTGGCCCCATAGGGAGCTCCACCGAAGGCCGCAGTGCCACCGCCCGCATGCGTCACCCACACCCGTTTCGGCGCACCCCTCACACGTTTCGTGGCCCCATAGTGAGCTCCACCGATGGCCCCAGTGCCACCGCCCGCATGCGTCACCCACACTCATTTCGGCACACCCCTCACACGTGTAGTGGCCCCATAGGGAGCTCCATCGAAGGCCCCACGGCCACCGCCCGCATGCGTCACCCACACTCATTTCGACACCCCTCACACGTGTAGTGGCCCCATAGGGAGCTCCAACGAAGGCCGCAGTGCCACCGCCCGCATGCGTCACCCACACTTATTTCGGCACACTCCTCATACGTTTCGTGGCCCCATAAACTCCACCGAAGGCCCCAGTGCCACCCCCCGCATGCGTCTCCCACACCCATTTCGGCACGCCCCCCACACGTTTCGTGGCCCCATAGGGAGCTCCACCGAAGGCCGCAGTGCCACCGCCCGCATGCGTCACCCACACCCGTTTCGGCGCACCCCTCACACGTTTCGTGGCCCCATAGTGAGCTCCACCGAAGGCCGCAGTGCCACCGCCCGCATCTGTCACCCACACCCGTTTCGGCGCACCCCTCACACGTGTAGTGGCCCCATAGGGAGCTCCATCGAAGGCCCCACGGCCACCGCCCGCATGCGTCACCCACACTCATTTCGACACCCCTCACACGTGTAGTGGCCCCATAGGGAGCTCCAACGAAGGCCGCAGTGCCACCGCCCGCATGCGTCACCCAGACCCATTTCGGCGCATCCCTCACACGTGTAGTGGCCCTATAAACTCCACCGAAGGCCGCAGTGCCACCGCCCGCATGCGTCTCCCACACCCATTTCGGCACGCCCCCCACACGTTTCGTGGCCCCATAGGGAGCTCCACCGAAGGCCGCAGTGCCACCGCCCGCATGCGTCACCCACACCCGTTTCGGCGCACCCCTCACACGTTTCGTGGCCCCATAGTGAGCTCCACCGATGGCCCCAGTGCCACCGCCCGCATGCGTCACCCACACTCATTTCGGCACACCCCTCACACGTGTAGTGGCCCCATAGGGAGCTCCATCGAAGGCCCCACGGCCACCGCCCGCATGCGTCACCCACACTCATTTCGACACCCCTCACACGTGTAGTGGCCCCATAGGGAGCTCCAACGAAGGCCGCAGTGCCACCGCCCGCATGCGTCACCCAGACCCATTTCGGCGCATCCCTCACACGTGTAGTGGCCCCATAAACTCCACCGAAGGCCGCAGTGCCACCGCCCGCATGCGTCTCCCACACCCATTTCGGCACGCCCCCCACACGTTTCGTGGCCCCATAGGGAGCTCCACCGAAGGCCGCAGTGCCACCGCCCGCATCTGTCACCCACACCCGTTTCGGCGCACCCCTCACACGTTTCGTGGCCCCATAGTGAGCTCCACCGATGGCCCCAGTGCCACCGCCCGCATGCGTCACCCACACTCATTTCGGCACACCCCTCACACGTGTAGTGGCCCCATAGGGAGCTCCATCGAAGGCTGCAGTGCCACCGCTTGCATGCATCACCCACACCCATTTCGGCACACCCCTCACACGCCTCGTGGCCCCATAGGGGGCTCCATCGAAGGCCGCGGTGCCACCGCCCGCATGCGTCACCCACGCCCATTCTGGCACGCCCGTCACGCGTTTCGTGGCCCCATAGAGATCTCCACCGAGGGCGCCAGTGACTGCGTTCGCATGCGCCCACCGCACCCATTTCGGCAATCCTATCACACATTTCGCGACCCCATGGGAAGCTCCACCGACGGCCCCAGTGGCTGCGTTCGCATGCGCTCATCGCGCCTACTTCGGCACGCCGCTCTTGCGTTTCGTGGCCCCATACGGAATTCCACCGACGGCCCAAGTGGCTGCTTTCGCATGCGCCCACCGGACAAATTTTGGCACACTCCTCACACGTTTCGTGGCCCTATAGTGAGTTCCTCAGTGCATACAACGACGGTGCTCACAATTGCGTGTGGTTGGGTCCTTCGCCAGGCTAATTTTTCCAAGCGGCCAGTATCGAAGAATGGCCGAACCTTTTGCAGAATTCGGCACGTCTTCTGCATTCTGCCAGGGAGGAACGTTCTTCTAAATTCCAGCAGTGCCAAATCGAAACGAAATCTGCGTCTCGTAGGGCTGGCCTTGTCCCGTAGCCATGCTTCCAGCCTGTCTGGACCGGCTCGTGCAAACTTCGAGCCGTGACCCGCGGGCCGCGTCCACACTCGCCCATTGGGGGGGTGTTCGTTTGTGCGGGTCGGTCAGCCGGCCCACTGGAGGGGCCCATTGGAGGGGCGTCGCCAACAGCCGTATCTATGTATATGTATATATATATATACATATATATATGTATGTGTATATATATATATATATATATAAATATACACATCCAGTGGCGCTGCCGTGCGATTCCGCCACCGCGCTCGGGCGGGCGCCTAGGGGAGGGTGGGGGCGGGCGCCAGGAAGGGGGGGTCCACTGAACGCCCCCCCCTCCCCGCACGCCTGGAATTTGGGCACATTTCTGCCCGGAGGGCCAAGCGCATGGTCTTGGCCATAAAGAGGAGCGCATATTGGGCTCGATGCGCTCGGGGACCCAGCCATTGTTTCGCAAGGGCCGAGCGGGCCCGACACACACACCTGCCGCTGCATATATGTGTGTACAGCCCCCCCCAGCACCCATTCTCACTGGCATTCCCTTAAGACGCTGGTGCTCTTTCTTTCCTCCTCATCATAAGTTTCTTTCTCTCTCCCTTCCTCTCTCTTTCTCTCTCTCTCTCTTTCTCTCGTTCTCCTTCTCTCTCTATATAGCTCTCCATTTTCTCTCTCTCTCTCTCTCTCCCCCCTATCTCTCTCTCTCTTTATCTGTGTGTCTCTCTCTCTCTCTCGCTCTCTCGTTCTCTCTCTCTCTCTCTCCATATATATAGGTATATATATATATATTGTATTTGTCTCTCTCTCTCTCTCGTTCTCCCTCTCTCTCTCTCTCTGTCTTTCTCTGTCTCCCTCTCCCAGACACCCAACACACTTCCTGTGACAACGCGAGGTTCACGATGTCAGGGGTGCGGAAACCTTGTATGTTAATTGGGATGTTTCGTTTTCCTGGGATGAGAAGTGAGGAAGCCATGTGTTTTCATTTGGATGTTTAGGATTGTTGGGTTTTCCTCCCTCCAGCGAAAGTCAAACCCAGGAGCCCTCCCAGGAGCTCCGATCCCCAGAATCCCCACAACCCACAAACCCAAAACGAAAACACATGATTTCCTCACTTCTCATGCCAGAAATCCCAACCATCCAAGTGAAAACACAAGGTGTGTGATGCCCGGTGTGCGGTTAACCTTGTGTTTTCATTTGGATGTTTAGGATTGTTGGGTTTTCCTCCCTGCAGCGAAACTCAAACCCAGGAGCCCTCCCAGGAGCTCCGATCCCAAGAATCCCCACAACTCACAAACCCAGAACGAAAACACATGATGTCCTCACTTCTCATGCCAGAAATCCCAACCATCCAAGTGAAAACACAAGGTGTGTGATGCCCGATGTGCGGTTAACCTTGTGTTTTCATTTGGACTGTTTGGGATTTCTGGTATGAGAACTTAGGAGACCATGTGTTTTCACTTTGGATGCTAGTGTTTT